TCTAGAAGGTACAAGCCATTAACTTTGGTGGCATCCACCTGGCGCTAATCTGCAGGTGCATAGAGTACAAGAGTTATGGGCCATGGTGCCTTCCATCTAGACTTCAGAGAATGTCGTGAACAGCTTGGGGGCTCAGGCGACTTGTTCCAGGGGCAGAGCCACTGCAGAGGGCTCCCAAAAGGGTAATGCCTAGTGGAGCCATGAATTGTGGCCATCACCAAGACCCCAAAACTGTAGAGCTACCAGTGTGCAACACTGGCCTGGGAGAGTTGCAGGCATGAGACTCCAACTGTGAGAGCTGCTGGGTAGACTGAGCCCAACCAAGCTGTTTGACATAAAGTCAAAGAAGATTATTCCTCAACTTTAAGACTGAATGTTGTTTTCCCTGTTGAGTTTTGCACTTACTTGGGACCAGTTACCCTTTTCTTCTTGACTATTTCTCCTTTTTGTAATATCTATCCTATGCCTGTACCACCATTGTATTTTGAAACATATAGCTTGTTAGTTTTGGGGGGTTGTTTTTGAGACAGGGTCTCTCTCTCTCTGTCACCTGGGCTGGAGTGCAGTGGCATGATCACGGCTCACTGCAGTCTTGACCTCCTGGGCTCAAGCTATCCTTGTACCTCAGCCTCCCAAGTAGCTGGAACTGTAGGCATGTGCAACCATGCACAGCTTTTTTTTTTTTTTAATGTCCAGGCTGGATTTTGTTAATTTCATAGGTTCAGCGGTAGAGAGGAATTTGTCTTATTATGAATTGTGCCCTGAGTCTCCCTCATGTGGGATTTAGGTGAGACTCCAGAATTTGGGCATTTGAGTTGATGCTGGAACAAGTTAAGACTTTTGGGGATATTGGGATAGAATGAATGTGTTTTGTCCAAGAGAAGGACATAAATTCTGGGGGCCAGGGACAGAATACTATGGTTTGAATGTGTCCCTTAAAGTTCATGTGTTGGGGGGGCCAAGCGCAGTGGCTCATGCCTGTAATCTAAGCATTTTGGGAGGCTGAGGCAGGAAGATCACTTGAAATCAGGAGTTCAAGACCATCCTGGCCAACATGGTGAAACACCATCTCTACTGAAAATAGAAAATTAGCTAGGCATGGTGACAAATGCCTGTAATCCAAGCTACTCCAGAGGCTGAGGCAGGAGAATTGCTTGAATCTGGGAGGCAGAAGTTGGAGTGAGCCAAGATCTTGTCTGTGAACTCCAGCCTTAGAGGACAGAGTGAGACTCTATCTCAAAACAAACAACAACCACCACAACCAAAGTTCACGTGTTGGAAATCTAATTCCCAGTGTAACACTGCTGAGACATGAGACCTTTAAGAGGTGATTAGGTCATGAGGGCTCTACCTTCATGAATGGATCAATGTCATAACAAGGGTGCATTTGTCATAAAAGTCAGTTTGGCCCTCTCTTGCACTCTCTCGAACATGAGATGCCATCTATCATGTTATGACACAGCAAGAAGACCATCACAAGATGCTGATCCCTTGGCTTTGGACTGCCCAGCCATTCAAACTGTAAGCCAAGTAAATTTCTGTTCATTATTAATTACCTAGTCTGTGGTATTCTGTGAGAGCAGCATAAAACAAACTAAAACATTTACTAAAACTAATTTCACCTGTTATTTTTACTCAAACAAATGTACATCTTTAATGTGGCTACTAGAAAATCTAGTCACATATGTGATTTGCATTTGCGGTCTGCGTTATATTTCTATTGGTCAGTGCTATTTCAGACAGATAGCCGTGGTTTCTAGAGAATTGGTTCTGTAAAGTGACTATATACTTCTAAAAGTAAACTGATTCTCTCCTATTCTATTTCTGGATTGCACTGTGCTATGAGCTACCTGGCAAAGTCCCCTCACTACGTCCATCCTCCAGGACTCTCACCCAGGTTAGGACTGACCTTGAATATCTCTTTTAGATCCTACATCTCTCTTGTCCTATATCACCAAGGAAACAAAGTTTTCTTTCAATCCTTGCACAATCACAATGTATGCATTGTCATTTAAAACCCCACACAGCTCATCTCCCTTTGAAACAATGCTACAAGTTTTGCTAAAAATTCCAGGCTGTTATTACCGGGGAGCTACCGGTCAGAGCATACCAAGAAAAGGGAAGGGCCTCAGCTGTATTCTCCAGGTTCACCTTCCCTCTCTCTCCTCCGCTCTGGATTCACTGGTTTCTTCCTGCTAGAGACTTCACCCTCACCTTCTTGACAAGGCAATCGCTGTGCTAGGTTAGAAGAGGCAGAATCAGCTCTTTAGCGGCAACTTCAAAGGAAAACAAGTGCTAGACCCTTAAACTAGACAGACTGCTGGAAAATATCACCAATAACCCTGGAGACACAAGGGGAAAAATTAAATCCTCAGAATCTGCCTTTTCTCTTTTTACATATATGCTTGATCCACAAGTAATACTGGCCTAGTGAGAGTGGCTTTGAAGGTAGACTGGGTTTAAATTTCTCTTTTACTACCCAGTAGCCATAGGACTCTGGATAAAGTTGGAAGATTTATCTGGGTCTCAGTTCCCTCTCCCGCAACAATGGGGACAATTTCACCTACCTCACAGAATTGTTGAAAGGAGTAAGTTAAATAATGGATGTAAAGGTACTTTGCATAATAGTAGGTGTTTAATAGATACTAGCTTCTTTTCCCTTCTTTACTCTTTCCCATAGTAATGAGGCAAAGAAAATGCTAAAAACCTCATGTACCACTGAAAATAAACCCTCTGTGCTCTGATCTGTTTAGTTGTTGTTGTTGTGTGTGTGTGTGTGTGTGTGGATTTTTTTTCTAATATAATCTGAATCTTGGCTCCTGGTACAATTTTTTAAAACCTGGTATAGTAACTCTTCGAAGGCAAGAATTATCTTTGCAACCCTAGCATGCTGTCTTGCAAAAGACTAGATAAATACTTGTCGAAAGGAAGAATGTCGGATTTTTTTTTAAAGGTAATCAGTTATTTAATTAGATTATTAGGACATTTAAAATACCAATTTGTGAGGATAAATTCCATTTGTCAGGGCAAACAGACCGCAGGTAGCCCTGGAGCTGAGGAATAGCTTTGATTTTTGGTAAAATTTGTGAGTCCACAGCTTTCTGATCAATCTTGCGCTGCTCTGTAATCTCGTATTTCTCTTTTTCTGTGTCGAAGATCTCACCTTCCTGGTGTCTGGGCTTCTGCAGCTTCTACTTCTTGAAGTGAGCATCAGTAAGATGTTTTGGGATTTTTACATTGCTGATATCAATTTTGGTTGAGGTGGCAATGACAAGTTTCTGGTGCGTTCTTCGCAGAGGAACTCGATTGAGGACCAGAGGTCCAGTCACAGGTAATAAGCCACTAGCCAGCTGCTTCAGGAAAACCACCCTCTTGCCCCTGTGGTGTCCAGTGAGGATGATCAGAATGGTCCCGGGGGTGATGCTGGCTCGCAGTTTTCTCACGTGCTGACTAAAGGGTTTTTTTTGCTGTGGCTCAACAGCTTTTGGGGCATGTCTTCAGTAGGATAACACCTAGGCATTTTGTGAAGTTTAACCACCCAGGTACTGCCGTTTTTGTCACCACCAACTGGTTTTGTAACAGTTGCAAGAATCTTCTCCTTTTTCTTTTCAACCTTGGATTTAGCGGCTGAGTACTTCCTCTTGTGCATGGACTTTCTGGAATGCATGGTAGATCGGGAATACCTGCCAATTCCTCTGACAAGAACAGGATTGCAGCTGCAATGGGGCTTCCCCTTCTTGGGCTTTTTAGCCTTGAGGTACCCTTTTTCACTTTGCTACCAGCATCAGCCTTCTTGGCTTCAGGTTTCTTCTCTTTAGTGTCCAACTTCTCAACTTTTTCACCCCCCATCTTGCAAGATGGGAAAGAGCAGAATGTCGGATTTTAATGCAAGCAGAAGGTAGTGCACATGTGGAGTATGGAAGAAGCATTTAAAGACAGATGTCAGAATTACCGGAGTACAAAGGTTATGGTGATCTTTGTGTCAGGGTCAAAATGAAGTGACAACCTTCCAAATGAACAGAATGGGAAATTTGCCTTGACAGAAGTTTTGTAAAGTTTCTGTTTTCAGACAAAATATGTCTAAATGAAAGTTTACATTTTCTAAATGAAATTAATAGATAGGCGGAAATAGGCCAATGAGAAGAATTAGGATGACCAATCCTTTGTCAAACACACAGCCAGGACCCTACGTGCTCAGAAAGAAGTGAGACTGAGAGGCAGTGGTCTGGCTAAAGGGCGTTTGCTTTAAATACTCCCATAAATATTTGCTTCAAGTATTTGGAGATGCCGTTCAGGTTCACAACCTGCCCAGCTTTCTGGATCATAACCACACTGAGATGCAAAGAATTTGAGCTTCTTCTTGCAATAAGAAGGAAAGAGAAAAAGATTAAGACACGAATTAGCCTTTCTAGGCCTTGGAAACTCAGAGCGAGATTTCTACTCCATCCTGCTGGACTTGGCTCTAAATCCCAGGGAAGGAGTTTGGCACAAAGCATTGTTCCCACTGTCCTGGCTTCAGCTGTGTATAAAACAAGGTAAAAACAGTGCCAAACACCACCAGGCATGGCTCTGCAATTCTATGCAGTACAGGAGATACCGCACTCTAGGAAAGCTGTTTGGTCCAACTGAAAACACTGCCAAGTTCTGATGACACCAGAGAGTCTGATGCCCAGGGGCTGCTGCCAGAGAAATAAGAGCATTCCTGAAGTTACAGGTCTAAGTTGGTGGACTGACACAGGTTCAGAACAGTGAAGGTAGAGTACGTTCTAGAAGCATGCTTTCCACTGCGGCAAGAGCAACTGTGGGTGAAGGAGCAGGCCCCCCTGCTTTTGTGTCCCACCTCTCTTACAGCATCACAATCACTGCCCGTCACACACAGTCACAGTCACCCAGAGTCACAAACACTGCTGAACAATCAGAAAATTACAGACTCCCACACCCAGTAGTTAGGTGCAATCTAAAACACGACCCTCTGAACATTCACAAACTCTTCTACCTACCTGATTGCCAAAGACAGCCACAGAGCAGGCTGTGGAAACCTCATTAGCCCCGAACCAGACGGAAGCGATGCGGGAGGGCATGCCCAGGATGAAAACCTGGGCCACGGAGCAGATGAGCTGGCCCACCACGGTGACGGGAAAGAGGTGCGGCCGCAGGCTGCCCAGCTTCACCCAGGCTCCCAGGCAGTTGAGAGCCGAGCCGGTGAGAGCAATGGTGCGCAGGCCGAACTTCTCCAGCAGCCAAGCCACCAGCAGGAGCAGCGGGATGTAGGTCAGCATGTAGCACATGGACAGCCAGTCAATGGCAAAGGCGCTGACCCCGTAGAAGTGCATGAAGATGTTATTGATGGAGCTGTACTGGATCCACTGGAAGGCGTTGCACATGGAGTAGCAGCTGAATACCAGAACCACTGCCCAACGGCGCCTGCTCACCTTGATCACGCTGAGGTTCTCGGGGCCCGAGCCACTGGAGCGAGCCAAGCCACTGGGTTGCGCTAAGGCACTGGGGTGGGCCGAACTGCTGGGGTGGACAGAGACGCTGGGGTTGATGGAGACGCTCGGATGGACCGAGACGCTGGCGTCCGCTTGGAGTTCGGTCTCCGGCGCAGGGGTGTCATCGCGCTCTTCCTCGTTGGGACCTTCATTCACCATGGCCACAGTCTCCCCTGGAATCCTGGAGAAGTGGTGAGGACTCCGGCAGTCTTAAGGGACAGTGGCCTCCGCTGGTCTCAGAGTAGAAAGGACACTTGCCTATCCCAGAAGATACAGAGAGACTCGAGGCTGCGTAAAAGCTGCGAGTGGGGATCCCTGCGCTCACCCCCAAGCTCCTGCTCCTACTTTTCCTTGGGGAACCTCTGTTCCCACCCGCGGCGATCGCTGTCCCAAGGCCGGCCGCACACGCCGCAGCCGGCTCCGGACCGCTCCTGCCCTGGGTCTCCCCACAAGGCGTTCCTTGTGCAGGCAAAGTTCTCTCCCAGCGCAGCCACTTCGCCCGCAGAGTCCTCTCGGGGCCAGCTTGGGGCCTCGCCCCCTCGGGCACACGTGACCGCCCCGCCCCCGTCCTGGCCGTCTTCCCCCACCCCCCCCCACTCCACCCCCAAGCCGGTGTCTCTTGCCTTCTCGAGCCCGGCCCGCCGGGCAGCGCAGTTGTTTCGCCACAGCTTGCGGGATGCATTCCTCCCCCACGCCCCGGGCGTCATGGAAACCGCCCGGTTAACCTCCACCCCTTGAACTGTCCCCCAAATTCATGTGCCACCCGCTGTCATCGGACCCTGCAAAAAGATCCGCCTTTTCGAGGTAATCGTTCCCCAAAATAGAGCTTCCCCAGTGCCTGTCCGCTGCCCTGCACGCTTGCACCAAAGCCCGGCGCCTCCTAAGTGCCCAGGTGAATTCAAGAGGGATTCCCCAGCTTTCTCCCCTTGGCTAGGCTCCCAGCCCCTTGCTGAACTAAAGAGAGATTTATAAATTTCCCGGGCTGATTGCGCTCCTGCGTTAAAGGGGAGTTACAGAAAACTCGCTTTACTCTCTTCTTTCCCTGCGGACGTGGTTTTGTCTTGGGGAGGTTAGGTTTGAACCTGTTGTATGGGGCTAATATTTCCTGATTGATTCTGGGCAAGGCCCCTAGGGTGGAGGGGAGGGAAAGGGGAGTTTGAAGAAGCTGTAGAAACTGTCCGCGGTTGTGTGGTGGAACGCTTAGCGAGGAGCTGGCTCCGGGCGTGGTCTTGGAAGCGGTCTTTGAACTCCAGCAGCCCTAGTCTGCCACCTGCCGGTCCCAGCCCAATTCAAAGGGCAAACCCTCGACTCATTGCACTGACTCATTGCCTTGGCGAGGGATCCTGGGAAGGAGCCCAAATTCTTCCTGAGTTCAAACACCAGCTTAGCCACAACGAGGTGTCACTGTAGATCAAGGAACTCCACCTCTCTGCGCTTCGGTTTCTTCATCTGTAAAGGCGGATGATGAAATAATAGTACCTACCTCACCGTGTTGTTTGGAGACTTGAATTTCGAGTTAATACATGAATGCACTTAGAAAATCCCTGCCACATAGTAAGTATTCCGTGAGTGCTGGCTCTCCTAGCGAAAAGCTAACATTTGTTGCACAGTGCTAAACAAATTGAATGCATTTTCTCATTTAGGCATCGCAAGAATTCTGTGGTAAGGTTGCTATTGCTGGCCTGAATTTTATAGATAAGAAAACTGAGTCTCAGAGAAGCGAAGTAACTTCTTGCTGAAGGTCCCAGCTGGTATGAAGAGCCATAATTCTCCTTCAAGTCTGTAATCATTCAAGGTGTAGCCTAGCTATTCAAGTACAGTCTATGGACAGCAGTGTGGGCAGCCTATGGGAGCTTTCTAGAAAGGCAGAATCCCCTCCAGTGTTAAGGCCTTAAAAAACAAGACAAAACAACAGCAAGAAGGGCAGGATGCCTGGCCCAACCTAGACCTACTGAATTGAAAGCTGTATTTTAACAAGACACCCAAGAGATTCATTTGTTTGGACATTAAAATTTGAGAGCTATGGCATCACTGGTTCCTTTTTTTTTTTCTTTGTTAAACTTCAGACCAGAAAATGAATAACTTGAAGCTCTGGGAAGTGGTTCTCCACTTGGTCTGGACATTCAAATCATATGAAGAAACTCTTACTATTCCAAATGCTCAGGCAACACCCCAAATAGAAATCTCCGAGGGTGGACCTGAACACCTGCACATTTCAAGCTGCGTTGGTTATCCCAACGTGCAGCCAAGTTAAGAACCACTGATTCCCAGGAGAGAACTAGATTCAAATTATCACTCTCTGCTTGAAGGCATCTACTTTTTGGTAGAAACTATAGAGTCTCAGACTACAATGGAATATTTGAAGAGGGAGTTCAGACCCATCTAAAAATTTCTATAGTAATGTGCCATCCCGTATCGTCCACATTCCTCCTGTGTTGCCCATCATTCTCCAGGGAGCACAGAACTCTGTTCTCTTAGAAAGGCTTTGGAGACTTCTCACTGCTTCTTTTCCCTCGGTCATCATGGGCCTCTCCCAAAACTCTTCAGAATATATTCTTAACTTCATTTTACAGATAAGGAAACAGGCTTAGAGAGGCGGGTGTGTTATTCAGCATCCTACAGTGAAATAGCATCAAAACAAGAAGCAATAAAATGGGTTCTCCTTCCATGTGGTCTTTCACATGAGCTCTTCTGGGGCAGCCCTTCAACTTGGCAAGAGATTCCAAGGGTCTAACCTGGGATTCAAGTGAGATTTGGAATTGCTTTTGTGGTGGTACGAGTTGGATCTGTTGTGAGCTGGGACGGGTCTGGGTTGGGTCTGCTTAAACTTGAAGCTCTGTTTTGTCATTCTTAGCTTTGGGATCTTGAGCAAGTCGCTTGACCTCTCTATTCTTCAGTTTCTAAATCTATCAAATAAGGATTAAAAATATCTGCCTCCAGCCTGGTGAGGTGGCGCAGACTTGTAATCCCAGCACTTTGGGAGGCCAAGGTGGGTGGATCACTTGAGGTCAGGGGCTCAAGATCAGCCTGGCCAACATGGTGAAACCCTGTCTCTACTAAAAATACAAAAATTAGTTGAGCATGGTGGTGTGCACCTGTAATCCTAGCTGCTCAGGAGGCTGAGGCAGGAGAATTGCTTAAACCTGAGAGGCAGAGGTTGTAGTGAGCGGAGATGGTGCCACTGCACTCCAGCCTGAGCAACAGAGCGAGACTCCATCTCAAAAACAAACAAAAACCCCAAAAAACCTGCCTCATAGAATTGTTGTGAGAATTAAACAAGCTAATATGCATAAACAGTTTTCAATAACAATGATATTCTAGTCATCCCTCGCCACCACCGGGGTAGGGTGACTCTTGACTGATTCCCAAAGTGGTCGGGTGGTATGTTGGGGGGAAGCTCTATAAATATTGGGTAATACTACACAAAGAGAAGTATTCTGTATTCATCCATTGAAAAAACATGTATTGAGCAGCTTACTATGTAGCATATCTATCTTTATGATGTTCTCTCTATCGGTATGTGTAGGTATACCTTGGAGAGTAAGGAGAAATACATTTTAGATTGCTTCATGAAAGGGGGCTCTGGGTCCTGGTTCCTGGCACTATCCAACTAATACCTTAGGAAGCTTGAGGGAACGAACCTCTGGCATTGAACTCAAGCTTGCGAGGCCTTCTGCAGAATGGTAGGCAGCCCGCTGGAGGCTATCCACTGGATTCAAAGTCAAAACATCACCCTCTTGTTGATAGCTTACGACCAGCCAAACAGAGCTGTAGATGTAAGAGGCAAGGAGTTTGCTGAGTGCATGGGAAGGCCAAATTTCTAACGAAATGAACCAGGTTGGGAGCCTGCATCATTCTTCCTCAGACGAGAGCCCAGAAGAAAGGCCTCCCAACTGGACATGTGGATGCTGGGCTGTGTCTGGGACACATGGTTTGAAATAGTTTTTTCAATTCCCTGGAAGTACATGAGTACATCTGGAAAGGCCTCAGATGGTATCAATCCTCCTCTAAAAACAAGGTCTCTGTACATTGGTCACCTTTTGTGTCCTCAGCTGCATGTCCTTGGGTGTGATCATGGGTGTCCACTGTGTTATTCTTCATACCTGTTTTATATTTTAAATCCTTCTTAATAATTAGAAAACCAAAAAACGTTGCCCCATAAATATGAGAAAGAGCTAACTTAAAAACGTGAGTCAAAGAGGAAGCAGAGATATTAAAATGGCTTTTCTTTTTGCATAATCTATAGAAAGCCCAGAGGTATGAGGCTGTCTTTGCATAATGGAAAGGAGAAACTGTGGTAGCAGTTATTGATTGCCAGGGCAACAGTTAAAGGCACATGGCATGATAAAGCAGAGGGGTGCTGGCTGGGCAGGGCTATGCAATGCTGCAGCCACGGCGTCAGAGAAAGGACACACAAAGTCATCTCAACCAGCCCCTTGATGTACAGAGTATAAAACCCAGGCCCAGGGGACTGTCTTAACACAGACATTCATTTACCCACCATTGATCTTCTGCAGGCCAGGCACTGTTCTCGGTGTAAAGGAAACAAATTCAACAAAGATGAGGCTCTTGCCCTCCAGGAATCCACAGAGTGGTGGTGAGACAGTTATGTGAGCAGATTATTGCTAGGAGGCACAATAAATGTATGGTCCATGCTGCTTCATGGGACTCCCATAGCCAAGAGTCATGGGGGGCTTTTCAGAGAGATGTTTGGTGGGGGTCTTGAGGGCTAGATAAGACTTAACTGGGCCCTGTGGCAGGGGCTGAGGATCCTAGGGGTGAGCAAAACAAGGAAAGAAACCTCGGTGGACGATCTCAAGGTTGAACCTGGGATTCTCCCTCCAGATGCCAGCTCCATCTGCCCAGCTGGTCACATCTAAAACCCAGGAAGGGCATTCTCCTGACCCCTCCCTCTCCCTCCTCCTGCAATTCCAGTTCAGTCCACCCCCATCTACCCTCCCTACCCTCATGGAGTTTACAGTGTCCTTGAGAGGAGAAACATCAATCAAACCCTTACATATACACATAAGTAAAATTACAAGTGCTATGAGGGTTATTTGTAAGAATTTGTAAAGATGGAACAGATGAATGGGATTTTTTTAAAAAATTTTTATTTTCAGATAGAGTCTTGCTGTGGTACCCAGGCTGGAGTGCAGTGGCGTGATCTCGGCTCACTGCAACCTCCACCTCCCAGCTTCAATCACTTCTCCTGCCTCAGCCTCCCGAGTAGCTGGGACTACAGGCATGCACCAACATGGCCAGCTAGAGTGGGATCTTAAGCAATGTATTTTTTTAAGTGAGACTTATAGCTCACACTTGTAATCCCAGCACTTTGGGAGGTCCAGGGGGGCAGATCACCTGAGGCTGGGAGTTCAAGACCAGCCTGGCCAACATGTTGAAACAAAAATAATTAGCCATGCTTGGTGGCAGGTGTCTGTATTCCCAGCTACTTGGGAAGCTGAGGCAAGAGGATCACTTGAACCCAGGAGGCAGAGGTTGCAGTTAGCCAAGAGCATGCCACTGCACTTCAGCCTGGGTGACCAGAGTGAGAACCCATCTCAAAAAATAAAAATAAA